AATAGAGAAAACATAGATGTGAAGCAGGTTCAAAGAGATTACCAGGAAACTAAAAACTAACGAAAGCTGGCATAACAGCTTGAAAGAAACTAAGGATAGATTATCTGAATTGGAGGGCACATTTGTAATATGGGAGCATGAGATGAAAAACTTCTTAAAAATAACAAGAAAACAAACAGCAATAATACAAAGGCTAGAAGATGATAAGAGGATCTATAACTTAAGAATTAAGAACATAAAAGAAGAAGTAGGGACACAAACAAATGGACTACAAATGCTATTCACAGAAATAATCCAAGAGAATTTCCCTAATTTAGCAAAAGGTAAAGATACTCAGATGTATGAGGCATACAGGACCCCAGCCACCTACAACCCAAACAGAGTTACACCCAGGCATATAATAATCAAAATTCCAGAAATCCAATATAAGAACAGAATATTAAAAGCCATCAGAGACAAGAAACAGATCACTTACAAGGGAACACCGATCAGAATTACAGCAGACTTCTTGGCACAAACCATCAAATCACGAAGAGCGTGGGGGGAAACAATTCAAGCTTTGAAAGATAACAACCTCTAGCCAAGATTGATATATCCTGCACAACTGTCCCTAGAAATTAATGGAAAAACAAGGTGCTTCCAGGATAAAAAGGAACTAGGGGAATTTGCAACCATCAATTCAACTCTACAGAGAATACTGCAGGATATTCTAAAAAAGGAAAATACCAAGACTTCAGAAACAGTGGCAGAGAGGCCACAATGAATGGAGCAGAAAGTGAAATGAAGAAGACAAACTGACAACAAACGACAGAAAAAGAGCTCAACAGAAATGAGGCAGAGAAGATTGAATGGTAGGAACAGCTATTTTGGAGAAAACAAGACATCATAATAGCTAGTGGTGATTTAGTATCGTCTTGCTTTGAAGTCCCATCAAGCTTTTATTCTTCCGTCTCCATCGGTCTTAACAGGTTATATCTTATTGGGTTTTATTATATGTGATAATATAAGAAAAAATGTTATAGACAAGGAGATTATACAGAAACCATTGTTCATTTTCTGATAGTTGGTTCTAAATATCCTGTAATACTGTCATTCCCTTGAATGGTTTTACATTGTCTTGATATGTTTGGTGTTACAGTATATGAAGTTATACTCAAAGATTTCAAGGAAAGAGACACTATGGTAACTACTTTTATGTCAGGATATCCTGTGGCGAAACACTATTTTGCTTAAATGGTTATGCTTTCACCTGCGCTGTTTTGTTATTATGCCCTCTTTTATCTCAGTCTTCTTTTTTAAAATTATTTACCTTTTTATTTTTATCTTTTTAATTAAGAGAAAAATTTAAAAAGCAGGATACATTATAGTAACCCACTTTGATTTCCTATTAACTTGATTTGAAACCCTGTACAGCCCTCACCATCTTGCTTTGACTGATTTTCCTCTATTCTGCTTTGCTTGATAGTACCAAGTTCGAAAGTATAGGCAACAACTGTAAAGACAGTAAGGTTCATTATGATGCCCATTCCGGTTGACTATTATCTTCTTTTAAAGTCCTGTTGTCTCCAATGTTTTGGTTTTACTCTTTATTGTTTTGTTCAATTTTATTATAACTGATGATATAGGCAATTCTTTTTAAGATAGCAAGAGACAGTATGGTAACCATTGTTGATCACCTTGTATTTTGTTTTTAAATTATCTATTATGTCCATCCTGGGGTTGGGGATTTAGCTCAGCGGCATAAGCACCTTCCTTGCAAGCAGGCAGTCGTGAGTTCGATCCCTGGTACCGATAAAAATGAAAAAAGACAAAAAAAAATTGCAGTATTATGTCCATCCTTTTGATTTGACTGACTCTGTTCTGTTATGTCACATTTGGTTTTACTCTCTTCAAAAAAAAGTAATAAGAATTGTGGGAGTAAGAAAACCCAAAATGTGTAATTGTCATTGTACAAAAGAGGAAAAGAAAGTGCTCTAAAGGATATAACTGCATGTATATTTAAGTGTGTAAGATAGATAACCATATTACTGAGTTTTGTTAGATCATTGAACAGAACTGTTTGCAGACTCAATGTTTGAAAGCCCACTTTATATGCTTTAATTTTGTAACTTGAACAACTATTTCTAAGATGACAATATGTAATCTATTAACTAGTGATTTCCTATTGTTTATTTTTTCTGAAATTCTGTATAACTTGTACCCTTTTTCTGTTTTTGTTTCTTTTTCTCCTTAAATAAAAAAAATGTATTATTTGTTCACAGGGTTTCAAGTTTAGAGTTGACCCAGTCTCCCCAGAAAACCAAGTCCCAGTCATGTCACTTTACCTGTGGGAACTTTCTTCCTACCCTTTCTTTCCTATTGCCCCTCACTCCAAATTCCTCAGCTCCCAACCTCTGGGACCACAGGCTGAGAAATAAGGTGTCAATTGCCAAGCCCTCTCCCTATGTACACTTTGAGTGGATTTTGTGACCATTCTTTCAGGGTAAATGGTCTCCCTCAACACTAGCCCAGCTAATAAAACCCGTAAGAAAGTCAAACAGTCTCCAGGAGACACTGCCCACACCAAGGTTAACGAGTAACTCGGGGGCAAGCCAAGGGGCTGTCTTCTGTTCATTAGGGTTCTCCTTTTACAAAACACAGGAAACATCCCTAACTTGACAATAATCATACACCCCTGTAACAGAGTTCAGAGACACTAAAATGGGTTTTCTTTTTGCTGGTTGTTGCTTTTTTGAAACAGGGTCTTGCTATGCAGTTCAGGTTAGCCTTGAACTTGTGTAGTCTGGGCTGGCTTTGAATTTGCAGTGATCCTCCTGCCTCAGCCTTCAGTGCTGGGATTACAGGTACACACTACATCGCCCAGCTATATGTACTGACATGCTACTGATGAACTTATATATTCTCATACTTGTACAAAAAGATTTTCTACATTTTTGATATATATTTTATGCATGAATATATAAAAGCAAGGGAGAGAATATAAACCAAAAATGTTAGCAGTGCTTCTTTTTGGTATTGAGGTTTGGGTGACTTAAATTTTTTCTTCTGTAGTGATCACATATTACTTTATAATTAAAACACCAATTGTAAGGAGACAGAAGTTACAGTCTCCAAAAGAGAAATGAACACCTCTCAGGACCTCTGTGTCTCAGAGATTAAAGTGTCTGGGAGAAGGTGATGCAAATACCACACTGCTTCTGACCAGACTGTCACTTGTCTCTGGGAAAGTCGCCTTGCTTCCTTTGCTTTCTTCTTCTTTAGGGTTGGAGACTGAACCCAGGGCCTTCACACTGAGCTGTATTCTCAGCCTTTTTCATTTCTTGAGACAGCCACACTTAACTGTCCAGACTGGGCTCAAGCTTCAGACTCTCTGGCCTCAGCAACCCAGAGTGCTGGGATCACAGGCCTGCATCCCAGCACCAGCCCCTTACTGCTTTTCACAAAGTCCCCAGGGTGAGCACACTAGGCTGGGCCAGAGGAGAGAAAGTAAACACACTTACACTAATGCTCACCCACAGCCACCAGAGGCACACAGCTGGGGCGGAGGCTTTCCCTGCCTTGCTCTCCCCAAACAGATGCTCCCACCCATAACATAAGGATACTCTGAGGTGCAGTCCTTTCTACAATGCAGTCTTTGGGATGAGGCTTTTGGGAAGAAAATCAAACCCAATCTGCCCTTCAGCAGCAAGGAGAAGGACAGGCTACAGAGGGTGAGCAGAGTCCCAAAGGAAATCAGTTCTGTGTCCAACTGGTAGGAGTGCCCCAGGCACCTGAAGTCACCACATTTCATCTAAGCCTGTGCAGGAAGGTTACCCTGCAAATGAGTATTAAAAAAAAAAAAAAAACCAACGGGGAAATAACCAAGACTCAACATTCAATAGGTCTGGTTAACAAGTAACCGGATTTTCCTTTTCTGCCGGAATCAAGCTCACCTTGTCCTGTACTCTGGGGCCTCCAGCCCCAACCCCAGCTCTGGCTCCCGGCTCCAGCTCTGTACCCAGTACTCAGGGCGTGTCCCATGGAAACGCCCAAATTACTGGGTAGTGACTCACCTGCACCCACTTTTCAGTCTGCACACACTGACCTTTGCTCCTGGATTCTAAAAGCTCCAAACTTTAAAGACACAGGCGGGCGGACTGATGTTAACAGATGTTAATATCAGTATTGCCCAGACTTCACATAAAAACCTATATTCTGATGCCGTATCATTGAGGGGGAGGTTCCAAGCTCACATCTTAACGCCCTTCCTCCTAACTCGGGGAGGGAAGAAACCGTGCTCCTCAGCCTGGTTCATTCATCAGGTCGCGAACGAGGTCTTAGGAAGAAGGTAAAACTGAGAACTGAGGCCTGCGGATCGCGGGCCGCAAGGGTTGTGCCATTCTCCTTCGGTGGAGGCTCAGTGAGCACCCCGGAGTTCAGCGCCAGCTTTGAACATACGACTGGGTCAATCTGCGATCCCAGCGCTGCACACTGGGGCGACACCCCTGCACCCGCCCGCGCTGCAGCAGAGGAGCCGGGCACCGGCCACGCCCAGCTAGCTCCTGGCCGCTGTCCCCAGACTGGCGGCCTTCGTCCCCATAGACCTGTGGCCCCAATGTGAGCTCCCGGTGACGGGAAAGAAAGGTCTGGACGCCCAGGCCCGGAAGGTAATCCCCAACCATAGCTGTGTAGGAGGCTGAGGCAGGTGGATCGCCAGTTCTAGAGCAGCCTGGGCAATTAGCGACACCCCGTCTCAAAATAAGTTTAAGAATAAATCGAGTTCAAAAAGGAGGAAGAAAGGGTAACGAAAATGTAAGGCAGGTCCACTCGTGAATTCACGTGGCGTCCAAACAGCCAGAAACCCATTCTCACACCCAGTTCATCCAGGCCCCCAGGAGTGGCGGGGCGTGGAGGGCGAGGTCCCAGGCCATCCGCTCGCCAGCCTGGCCGCCAGCCGGGCCTCGTCCCCGCCCTGCCCCGAGCACCTGCCCGCGCCCTCCCCAGCCCGCGGCCCCGCTCACCTGGCCCCGTGGAGCTGCCAGAGGCCGCGGCGGCCAGCAGGAGGGCGCCCCCCAGCAGCCACGCCGCGCGCGAACCCAGCATCCCGCCGTCCGACCGCGCCGAGAGCTCGCCAGTGAGGACGCCCGCTGCCTCTGCCCTGCAGCTGCGGCCCGAGACCGAGGCGGGGCGCCGGCCAGGCCACGCCCTCCCCGCCAGGCCACGCCCCCGGCCACCTGCGCTCCTGGTCCGGACTGCCCCAGTGCTCACCTGGGGCCCGAAGCCACCAGGTGGAGCCGCCAGCGGTGATGACGCGGGAATGCGAACAGCGGGAAGGCTGGCTGCAACTTCTCCGGGGCCGGCGGTGTCCAGAGCCGCTTCAGCCTCTCCTCCCACAGCGCAGTGCTGTGGGTCTCCCTCCACTGCTCCGGAAGCTGGAAGCCTTCATCCTCCAGGCCGGGTGGAGCTAGCCTGCAGTCTCCCCTGTGTGGGCGCCCATTGGAGCCCAGCCCGGGCAACTTCAAGATTTAGCGAGACTATTTCAAAAAGAAGAAAAGGGGATGTTGAGGGTGTAGTTCAGTGCAGTGTAGTTCAGTGATCCCTACTATCAAAAAATTTAAAAATAAAGTAAATAAAAGCCTTGATCCAAGTCCAATCCATTTTCCAGAAGGGAAGAGAATCAGTCTTTTCACCACAAGCCGCTCTGGGGCCAGTGAGTGACTTTCTGGTCTGTAGGAACCAGGCAGCCACCATGTACAGCAGGGCCCCTGGGCTGCCCCTGGCTCCTTGTGGGTAGAGTGAGGACTCAGGGCCGAGCCCTAACACGTGGTCGTCCCTGGAAAACCAGGCTTCAGTGAGCCATTTGCAGCTGACAGTACTAATACATGCAGGACTACAACCAAAGGCCCACCGTCCCTAGATCTGTGGGTGCTTTGCTGGGAGCTGCAAGTATGGGGCTGTCATCTTTGGGACTGTCATGGTCTCTCCTGAGCCTGCTGTGCCTGTGCGGCCAGTTAGCTGATCTAATGTGAGTCACAGAAAATTCAAGAAGAAAGCAACAAGCAGGTTTGGTATTCACCTCTGCGATCCCAGCACTGTGGGGTTGTGAGCGCTTAGAGATCTAGCAAGATCCTTGCTCCAAATGAAAAATGAAAAGAGGTGGAGGGTATGGTTCAGCGCATAGGCCCTGGGTTCAAAGTCAGTTGCAAACAAACAAACACAGAATCACGTTAGCAAGTGGTATCAGTCTTTTCCCCTATGAAACTTTTCCCTAAGGCAGCAAGCAGATGGTTAATATGCTTCCCCACCTCCAGAGAGGCTCACAAAAGCAGGGGAAACAAATGGCTCACATATGCCACTAGAAGGAAATGCTTACTTTCTGGATAACAGACAGGGTGAGGGTGTTTTGTTTTGCTTTGCTTTGTTTTATTTGAGACAGGACTTCAATATGTAGTTCAGGCCATCTTTGAACTCATGTATCCCTGGTTGGCCTCAAACTCGAGGCAAGTATCCTGCCTCAGCTTCCCAAGTGCTGGGATTACAGGTGTGCACCATCACACCTGGCAGCAGTGTTTCTTTTAAATTTCAACACACAAAGAAAGGGCCAGCTGGGAGGCACAGATATTTCATTCAGGACACCTCATGTGTCCCTCACATCTGTGCCTCTTCTGGGAACATGAAGACACTTGACCCTGTTGGCAGATTCTGTCGTGTCTTGTTGGTGATACTGTATGACCTTGAATAAATTACTTATGCTTTCTATGGTTTAGCTTCCTCTCTTAGAAAGAAAGGATTACTCAGGGATATCTCAGGGCAAAAGGATGACTGCTGCAAGCAGAAGCTCGAAAACTCTCCTTGTTCTTTCTAAGGGCATCTAAGGGCGTCTCTGTAACACCTAGCTGCGCCTGACTCCCAGCTGCCATTCCCAGGGCCACACCGCGGTCCACGCCACATTTTCCTCCCAGAAAAAGTTGATTTCTGTGGACACAGCACAGGGGTTTGCGTTATTGTGAACCAGGGACACTTTTTCCGAAGGCTTCTGCCCGAGAGAGGCAGCTCCTACATATCCCTTCCACCTCTGGGCCCCGTTTCAACTGAAATGGTCACTGCTGCATCTGAGGTCTGGGATGATACAGCCTTTCTCCCTTTTTCCTCTCTCAGGGGTGAGCGTAAGGGCTAATGGCAGTCAGGTGTCCTGAGCCCTGAGCAGAGTTCCCTCCCCTTCGGCACCCAGAGCACCACCCTGGGAGGAGGAAGTGTCCTTAGCAGAGAATGAAGTAATTTAAATTTCACCTACGCGGTGTAGAAACCTCTGATTCATCAAAACTTCCAAAAAAGGACTTCAGTGAACTGTGCTGAGTTAAAGTCTGAAGAATGTGGTTTCTTCCTTGAATGAACAGCACTCAGTGAAGTTATGGGGCGCTATGTGACACTATGGCTGGGACCCCAGGCAGCTCCAGGGTCAGGTTTAGGATCCTGGATCCCCACAGTTCTCCACTCCTGTCAGCTGGAAGTAAGTATTTAGACACCAAGAGAAAACATTTTTGTTTGAACAAGACCTCACTATGGAAGTCCAGACCAATCTTGAATTCACTTTGTAGTCCAGACTGGCCTCAAAGTCTGAATCTTCTTGCCTCAGCCTCTGGAATGAGCGAATTATAGGTGGTAGGCATCACACTTGGTGAAAACACATTTAATTCAAACTGACTCTGCTCTCATTTATTAAGCATTTCTAACTCTCCATGGAGACACAAAATCCCTGAAATTTTGGGTCCAGATCAACAACGGAGAATCAATAATGGAGAAAAGTTATGCTCATTCATATCCTTAATGCACTGAGACTCATGACTGGTCCTTTGGTTCTTCAAATCAAAAACTTCTCCATCACCCCTGATTTACGGCCCTTCTTTGACTCACTGGCAATTCTTCTTGCCTCTACTATTCCAGCAGCCTGGGGACTTGGTTTCCCCTTCTGCCCATAACCCCAGGTACCCTCCAGCCATCTGGAAACAAGGCACTATCCCTGCCTTCCTTCCTGAAGAACCGAAGTGCCCCCTGCTTTGCTCTGAGTCCTCTCAGGTTCTTATGCAACCACTACCCTTGCTTAGAATGCTCACCCCCAAACTCCTCTCAACGCTCTGGCTGAGGTGTTGCTTACTTGGACCCAGAAGTCACTGGGTTGCAGGAGTCTTGGGTGCTTCACCTCTCTCATCTCCCAGCTTCTCAGCAGTGGGGGTCAGGGGTCTCCATGATAGAGACAGAGCTAAAATGGTTTTGTCTGTGATCAGGCCAAAAACTTGTTAGAGCCAAAGAAATAATCTCTACTGATAGTCATAGCAAGGATCAGTGACAAACTACTATCCAAGATTATGGTCTTTTCACTTTTTCCTTTTGCTTAGCTTGGTTTTTGAGATAAGGTCTCACTATATAGTTCAGGCTGGTCTTGAACCCACTTTGTAGCCAAGACTGATCTTAACCTTGCCGCAATCTCCCTGCCTCAGCCTCCCAAATGCACCACCACACCAGGCAGGCTTTGTTGCTTTTAACTTTAGATTGTTTTTCTACCAATCAAACAAAATGAACAACATATTTTGTTTGGTTAGTTTGAATTCATGGTGATTCTCCTGTCTCAGCCTTCCAAAGTGCTGGGATCACAGGTTGTCCAGTTTGGGCAACATATTTTTAAGAAAAAGAAATATGAAGACTTTCGCTCTTGGGCTGGAGTTCGGGGTAGGTGAGGGGTCACTGTGATTTAGGGGTCACAGTCAGTCCTGACATCATGGGAAAGCACCTGTGATCCCTATCTGGTCTCTTCCACAGCCATGTGGAGTCAGGGAATGCCCAGCCAGTGATCCCTTAATTAAGTCAGTGCTGCTGGGTGAGGCAGTTTGCAGTCCTCTGGACACTTCATGAGGAAAGTGAGACCAGCTTTTTCTAGGAGGACAGGCTGCTGTGGAGGCAGGGCGGGATGGGGCCCTCCTCCCCGCACCTCCACAGGTGTGGTTCTTCTGTGGGGTCAGGCAGCCCATCCCTGTGACCTGGGCGATGGATGGGGGAGATAAGACTGGGAACCAGCACCAGTGCCTCTCTTCCTTGGGGATCAGAATGTAGAGTCTCCCGGAAATGCCTGCCCTTCGAGGCTGCCCTGTACCCCTTCCAGCAGGGTCCATTTTTGTCCCAAACCTTGGGCGTCAACAGAACCTGAGGAATTATCCCTAGGAGGTCTCCATGTCAGACGCAGAGCTCACTGGGTCTCTGGATTAGAGTGGCAGGAATGGTGGCGGGTGCCCAGTCAGCTAGGAGGACATCTAGTGCCCCTGCCTCACCCAGAATCCTGCGCTGTAAACACAAGGTGTGGTCCTCAATCCTGTGGTTTGAATGAGGCACGTGAAGACAAGGTCATTGAAGGTCAGGCCCGGAGGTCTAAGGAGCCCTGCTCTGGCCTGGGGCTTGGGGCTTTCCAGGGTCTTCCTGATTTTATTTTCTGCCTCTCTTAGAACAAAGGAAGGTGGGTTGGCCCCCCGGGGTGCTGCTTGAACTTAGGTGGGAAGAGGGCTGGTCTCCAGGTCTGCAAGTGTCCTGTACAGGCTTTTTTCACTAGGGTCCCATGAAGTGGGTGTGAGTCTGGAGCTGTGGAAGTTGACCTGGCTCCGCCCTCCAGTTCTTCTCTTTTTTAAAGTGCATGTTAATAATACAGAGTGACCTGGTTTATTTGGGAAACCAGTGCATGCGCTGAACACATCCTGGTCATTGTCATCCCCTGGACAGCCTCCTTTTCTGCACCCTACCCCCGCACATGTGCAAGCTACGGACAGGGAGCAGAGTCTTGGTCTCTCCTACGGGTCACCCACGCCCTCCATCCTGCAGGGTGCTCTGACAGTGAAGAGAAAAAGTGAGTAAAAGTCCTTTGGAACCTGGGTCTGGTGGCACACACTTGTACTCCTAGCACTCCAGAGGCTGAGGCAGGAGGATAGCTGAGTTCAGGCGCTGAGTTCAGGCGCAGGGGTCTCCATGTAGCCTAGACTACATAGCAAAACTCTTTCTCAAAACACACAAACAAAAGTACATTATTTTTAAATGACTCATTTCATTTCATAATTCCTGGTCAACTAGAGCTCTTCCCTCTGCAACCCAATCCTCAAGATCTGATAGGTTTTCAAGGTGAGAGGGAGAAAGAAGGAAGAGAGAGACCAAGATAAAAGGAGACTGAGACTGGGTGGAAGCCACTTCTAACTGCTTAGACCTCAGAGGCCAGCAGAAGACGGGGTGCAGAACAGAGAAGCAGCTATGAAAAGTGGCCAGGGCAGGGAAGTGAGGGCTATGCAACCTCCACCCTAAGTGTGAGACCTGATCGGAGGATAGGCCCCAGCCTATGGAGAGCTTACTCTACTCTTTGTCTGGAGTCCTACTCAGTCTGTTTTTATCAAAACAGTTGGCACCCCAC